AGGGATCGAACTCTGGACCTTGCACTTGCAAGGCAGGCATGAGAACCACTGAGCTAAACTCTGGCCTGGGAACCACTTATAACAAAGGCTGATCACTAAACTCAGCATTCAGCCAATATGCCAAACCAGTACCAAGACTGCTAAAGAGCTATACTTACAAAACCATTTTTTAAAATAATCATCCTGTAGCATAAATTAACTTAACTTTGAACAGTCAGGATTTCATAAAGACTAGGGGGAAAAGTCCAGTACTGAACAATTTTAATTATAAACTTGACTATATAAAAATAAAAATAGACTCAACTATACCTGAAATACTGTATATAACACATAAAAACAAGATAAATTTAAACCCTGACTATTTTTAACTTCTTAAAAGTATGGAAGTACAAAGATGCTACATCATTTATTATTAAGTAACTTATCAGTAACTTAGTAACAATATAGCTTTCAGGGGAAACTGAGCATATCTAAACCAAAGAAAGAGTTTGCTAAATTCACAAATATTTTGACAGTTCTTTATTCTAATTGCAAGTTAAAATACTTACAGATGACAATCCATATAGGAAAAAAAGTAGAAATATCACAAAGCTGCTACTTTTAGGGAATAATGAAGAAGCTGTTGCAATGACTGCCATAAGAAGAGACATAAGAAAAATAAAACTTGCATACAGAAGAACCCAGGAAAGCCTAGAATGAAAAGGCAAATACATGTATAGTTAAATGCATGGGATTTAACAGTTAAAAAACCATTTTAAACAAACACTAAAATTTTTTTACCTGTGTTATTCTTAAGCTATTTCCATGCATGTTCACATACTGGAAATTAATACTCATAAGTAATTAAGCATACAGTAAGTTAAATTATAGGTAAAAGTGTAATCTGATGATCCTGACGCCTGCCTTGCAAGCTCAAGGTCCCGAATTTGATCCCCAGTACCAAAAAAAAAGTGTAATCTGGTATAAAGATAAAATGGTAGCTTTCAAAGAGACAAAAAAGTTTAAAAAGAGCAATTTCTGATTAATTTAAATCTAATAGTTTCAAAAACTCAATAGTCCACAAAACCTCTGATTTTCTTAGAATAATTAATGAGCTAATGATTTTCTTTATAGAAAATACTATAATTAAAGCTCTGAAGGCTTTGGTTACTATAAACAATAAAAGCTCCTTACCAATCAATGGCATAGTTGCTACACTTATATAATGTGAGATCAACAAGATCAACAATGGGGGCATCATTTTTACTCAAAATTTCTCTTCAAGTCAGAGCTCCAATAGAATTGCTACAGTATTTAATTTCATTTTATTTTTACTGTTTCCAGGTGGCAGATTATGAGTTAATGTACATCCAAAAAAAACCAAAAAAACACTGAATTAGGACTAAAAGGTAGTTACATTAACAGAATTGGATCCACCATTTTACAGGAGCAAACTGAGGCACCTGAAAAACTGATTTGTCTGAACAGTTGGTGAACTATTTCTCCACAAAACACTTTAAAGATGCAATGCATCTTTCAAACCAAAGGATTAATAACTGATAATTGATACTTTGAAATAGGAAAAGGTCCAAAGGGGTAGGGGTGGTGGGAGGAGATGGGGAAAGGAAAGAATGGAAAGGGAAAATTATGAGAAAAG